CTGATGAATGGGGCCGAAACCTGAAGGATAAGAAAACAAGTGAGGAGCATGCAGCTGAGGACCATGCAGCGTGCAATGAAACCTAGAATGATAGAAATAACATTAAGAAATTGCAGGAACATGAAGCAACAAAAGGGAGAAATGCAGGGAGGTTAACCAGAAAGACATCTGGTTGGCTACTTTAGACTGGGGGATTAGAGGAGACAAAAAAGATGAGGAAAAGGGAAGAAAAAGAGAAAGGAAGAGACAGACAGTAAATTCACTGCAGCGTGTAGAACTCCACCGCAAGTCAGAGGCCTTCACACAAACCAGTCTCCCTCAAGAAACAAAAGAGGGCTTTCACTGCCTTGTGGCTTGTCAAGAACTGTGGACAGTGCTGTAATAGCATCTGAACAGAAAGAGGCCGATCATCCAGTCGCCACAACGCGTTGGCAAGTACTTGCCTCTCTGTGGCAAATCGAGGACAGAGGCACAGCAGGTGTTCAATGTTTGCATCGGTGCCGCAAACATCGCATGCTGCACTGTCAGTCATTCCGATTAACGTGGTATAAGCTTTTAAAAAAGCAACTCCCAGCCAAAGGCGATAGAGAAGCGAACTCTAACGTCTATCTAGGCCGCGTCGAGGCCGGAGTTGTAGTGAAGGGTCAAGTTCATGTAATCTGGTACGTCGTACGCTTGGTGTGTTCCACTTGGTCAGTGTGAGACTGCGGGCCAGCCGATGAATCTGCTTCGCAGTGTCCGCTCTTGAAAGCGGGTTTAGCTCTTGAACGCAGATTCAGAACGCTGTTTGCTACTAGATGTGACGTGCGAGCAGCACGAATGGCAGAATCATTCCCACTGACACCGCAATGCCCAAGTAACCACTGAAATACGATGTCATGGTCTTTTTGTATTAAAAGGTGGTGAAGGTTCACGGTTTCATAGGTCAAGTGGTCGTGGCATCCGCGGAAAACTGACCGCAGGCACTGTAACGCCGGTTTCGAGTCTGAAAACACATCCCATTTACACAAAGTGGAAAAAATTGGCCCTGTATCTGCTTGTTTAACAGCAAATGTCGTCAAAAGACAATAGTCTTGCGTCTGGAGAGAGTTAACAAAATGTTTACTTAATTGATGTTCTGCACAAGAAAATCGATGAATCAGTATTCTGGAGGCGCTGCATTAGAGTGCCTTGATCCATGCAGCGGAGGTGAACGAGCGCTTCGAGGCACGTGAGACACGAGCGCTATCTGGCAGTTATACTCAAAAAGGAAGGAAGGCGTGCGTGCCTGTCTGGGAGACGAGAAGGTGTAGAACGCAAAGCGATGAGCAGGTGCCACCATCGTGTCATATTGTCAGTGCAGCGTGATAAATGCAATGGTCCTTAGAATTACTTATGTATGCCCTTTCTAGTAAAAAGAAAAGGCATATACAGAATATTGGTGTGTTGTCATTGTGCCTCATATATGCGCAATTATTGCTTCTTAATTGACAATAGCACAAGTATGAATGCTGAAACTTAAGCAATATTGTTGGGTGCTGTGTATGGGGTTGGATTTTAGCCGTTTGGAATATCGTTTTGGCAGACAAACAGAGAATTGTACAGACATCAGACCAAAATTTTTTGTGTCGAAGTACCCCAATAAAGACTACCATCTTTGAAAAAAGGACCTAGGCTGGTCACGTGGACAGTAAGCGAAACAGAATGGTTACCAAAGGGGTGGAAAATTAAGTCAGTGAAGGCGCAATTAGCTAGTGTGGCCAAATTAAGGAATTCACAGGCATAAAATGGGATCAGCTCCCAAAGGACAAGGCAAACTGGAGATCATTAGGAGCGGTCTTCATCCTTCAGTGGACTAACACATAACACAGGCTGAGAATGATGACAATGATGACAACTGGCTTAGGAGTGCAACCGCCGGAATGAAATTTGGAGTAATTTTGGGAGCAGAAATTTTAATTTTAGAGCCCTAAAATGCAAATTTGGAGCAAGTCCTGGTAAAAAAAAAAAACACTTTTTATCACAATGGACCAAATTTTGAGCAGTATAAAAAGAGAGAAGGCTTAAATTTAAAAAAAAGAAGTATGTAAAAACCATTCAACGTCACCTGAATCATGCAGAGTGCACTATTATTTCAAGAAAAGTAGTACTTTGAACCACCCCACTGAGCAAACAATGATAAATGATAAAGTCTGCATTAGCATTTGCCGCATTTTCAAATAACTTGACAGACTCTGCAAATTCAAAGCTAAATCTGAAGAACTGGCGACCTTGAAATACAGGAGATTAGTGTGAAACTGAGGAGTAGGGGTGAGTAAAAAAAAAAACTGGTGCGCACTATCTTTTTCAAGGTGCCAGCAATGTAATACACTGCTCCACATGATTGCCTGTAACATTTTTAGAAGTCTGCAATCATACTAGTATTCACAGTTATGTGGCGTATACACACATGAGTAATTGATCAAAATGAACTATGTCCCGAGACTAGTGCTAAAAGCCCCTTCCAAATGACAATACACCTTTCTGCAGCGCACTGGTGTACTGTGGCAAAGGTGGCATTAACAGTGTTCTGCACAGAGTTAGAACAAGGCCAAGAAATTTTCTAACACTGCTACGTCCCTCCCCCCTCTTTTTTTTTTCTCATGATGGGGTTAGCTTTAGGCCACAACTTCTCAGATCACTTCCAAGACGCGTTCTACCAGATAAATTAACAAAGATACACCCCGTCGATCTGGTATTTGATATTTATCACCAGGAAGGTGCAACTAAAGCACCTTAAAGGCAGAAAAATGTTATATGTGCCTTTGCTATGGCCACCAGCATGGTTGCAACGCCGGTGTTCGCAGCACCTGGACTCTGTTCACACGTGCAAAACGCAGTGAGCAGTTCCTGCTCTAGCTGCTAACATGCCATAGTTACATTTGCTGACTAGGAAGTTCATATTTCCCGCGAAGCATTGGTGGCTACAGTAACGTATTTTTGTCTATAAGTTGCATCGTCATGCCGACAGGTATCCACTGCGGTCAGCAGACAGATAGGCACGTGGCTTTGTTACTTTAGCTCGTCAATCGCGTCTCCCAAGTGCTCTGACCTAAAATGAGAATGTATCTGACACCGCCACTTAGAGTTATGGTCTGCGCGCTTGTATTGATTGATGACACAAACTGCCGGTGACCATTGTAGCCTCTATTACACAAGATGTGACAGCGGAAACCACAACTGAGGTGGTTTCAGCAGAATCCTCCACAACTGTGACAGCATCTCTGAAGCCATGGAAAAAAACATGAGATCTTTAAAGGACTCCGACTCCAATAACGAAAGCGGATTATCTGCAAGTGAAGCAAAATATTGACGCTATTCGAGCAAAGTTAAAGGGAATACCACCAAATCGGTCATGACCACGAGCAGAAGTGTAGAACCACCACCTAAAAATAAAAAGACTAAAGTGTGTTTCGGCAGGGATCAAGCAACAATGAGACATGCGGAAGAACCACCGATGTAAACATTTCACTCTGCTGACTGGACAGGTGAGGAACAAGGATTAGAGCATTCTCACAGCATTTCGAAGTAGGCTAAAGAACCAAGAGACGAGGATCAAGCAACAGTCAATCTCTAAAGGGCAGTAAGAAGCCAAAGAAATGGTGGAAGCAGCAGCAAGATTGACCAGGTTGAAGATGAACAGGTTTTTGTCAGAAACTAAGTGACAAAACATGCGAAGCAAGATCCTGCTGATAGCTTTACTACCCACAAGGATGACTTGTTCGATCTACTGGTTGGTAGAGCTAGCAGTTTTGTGCCTACTGTAGTGTTCACATCATTAGATGCGCAGTAGAGACATCAGGACATTGTTCCACTGAGCTTCAAGAAACTGGATGATGTTATGACCAAACAAGGGGATGATTGCCAAGAAAAGGGTGCAGGGGTGCAACCGCCAAAATGGAATTCGGAGCAATTTTCCGAGCAGCAGAATGTTACTTTTGGAGCACTAAAATGCAAATTTGGAAGACGTTAGGGGAAATAAAACATTTATTTTTTATCACAAAAGATGAAATTTGGAGCAAAGGCTTACATTTAGAAAAAAAAGTATGTTCAAGCCATTCAACATCACTTAAATCATGGAGAGTAAACATGAGCACTGCTGTTTCAGTAAAACTAGTATTTCAATTTACCCAACTGAGCAAACATTGATAAACTTCACTTAGCACTTACCGCATCTGTCAGATCTGCTGACAGAATCTGTGAATTAAAATGTACGTCTGCCAAGCTGGTGACCTGGAAATTCAAGGAATTCATGAAACTGAAGAGTAGGGGTGGCGAAAAGATAATAAACCTTTGCAGTTTCTTTTTGTTTTCTTTCTTTAGGTCGGCAGAAGTGTCATACGGGGCTCCAAATGATTGCCAGTAACTTTTTCAGACCTCATCAATCATACTTGTGCTCACAATTATAGGGTAGTATACACGCATGAGTAATTCAACAAAATTTGCTGTCCCGTGAGTAATGCTAGCCGCCCCTTCCGAATCATTACACGCTTTTCCACAGGGCACCGGTTTATTGTGATGAAGGTTGGTTTAAGCAGAATTTTGCGATGATTAGAACAAGGACAATAAACTTTCAAACAGCGCTTCACCTCCCCTCCTGCTCCTTTTTTTATGATGGGGGTTAGATACAGAGCACAACATTTTCGCTCGCTTGCATTCTACCAAATAAAAAAACAGCGGCGCATGCCCGTCGGTCCGGCGACAGTACCGGAAATCTATTGCCGAGACGACGCAACTAACCCGACTTCAAGACAGAAAAATGTTTTAGGTGTCGTTGCCATAATGACCAACGTGGTCACCGGCAGTGCCGGCTTTCACAGACGTCGACTCTGTTCGGGTGCGGAAGACGTCATATGCGCTTCCAGCTATAGTTGCTAACGTGCCATAGCCAAGGGTGCAATAGCCGAAACCGAATTTAGAGCAATTTTAGGAGCAGTAAAACATTATTTTTGGAGCACTAAAACCCAAATTGAAGCAGGTTACAAGAGAAAAAAACATTAAGTTTTTATTACAAAAGACCAAATTTTGAGCAGCTTGAGAAAGAAGGCTTAGATTTAGAAAAAAATATATATGTGCAAGCCATTCAACATTCCCTAAATCATGCACAGTGAATATGAGCAGTGATATCTCAACAAAAGTTACTTTCTTTGTCAGCCCACTCAGCAAACAATGATGAGGCCCACATTAGAAGTCACCACACCTGTCAAATTGCTTGACAGAGTCTGAAGATTCAAATGTGGATTCCCGAAGAAGGTGACCATGAGATTTGTAAAACTGAAAAAAAAAAAAAAAAAACTGGCTTTTTACCGCTGCAGAAATGTCATTTTACACTCCAAATCATTTTGCCAGTTACGTTTTAGATATTAGCGAGCATATTAGTACTCACAATTATGTGGAGTATATACACATCAGTCATTGAACAAACTGTGGTGAGTCTAAAGACTACTGCTATAGACGACTTCCAAATCTTATATAGCTTTTTTGCAGGTCACCCATGTACTGTGGCGAAGGTGGCTTAAGCGGTGTTTCTGCACAAGTTAGAGCAAGACCAAGAAATTTTCAAACCACAACCCCCCCCCTCAATTTTTTTTTCATGAAGGGGTCAGGTTTAGGGCAAAACTTCTCGGCTTGCTTGCAAGCCGCGTTTGACCAGATAAAGTAATAATGGCATGTGCCTGTTGGCCTGGCAACGGCACCAGATAATAATCACATGTGGCATTGCTATAATAACTAATGTGGTCAGGACATGAACTAAAGCTGGAAGCGTACAAACTTGACGTGCTGAGAGTTTGTACATTTAGCTTTAGTCCCTAATGGTTCCTAACATGCCATGGCCGCGCTTGCCTGACTAGGAAATTCATATTTTCCACAAAGTGCTGCTGGCTACTGCAACACATTTTTGTCTTGAAGTTGCGTTGTCCCACCCGTAAATATCTGACGCGCAGCGTTGTTACTTCATCTGGTCGATCGCATTTCGAGAGTCTCTTGGCCTTATGAGCAGCTATCTTACACTGCAGATTAGAGTTAAAGTCTTCCTGCAGAGATTGATGACGCAAACTACAGGTGGCCAAAGTGGCCTTCATTTCTCACTCAAGTTAGGGCAATTGAGAAAATTTTGAGGCTGAGCAGGCATTTTGGCACAGTGCAGTGCAATTTCGGTAAATTTCATGATTTTGGTGCAGCCCAGTGCAAAAATGGGGCATTGAATCAAATTGGTGCAATTAGCACAGCTGTTGCACCTCTGAGGATGTGAAAGCACTGCTTCTGCCTTCAGAAGCGATGTGCTGTGCTCTTTGGACGCCACAAAAAAAAAAAAAAAAAAAAAAACAGCCACTGTGTGAAAGTACTATGCACACACCTCATAGTAACAAAGGAGCAGAAGAGCCAGGCACACAGAAGTGATGAGCCCATCCAAAGAAGATGCATCCATAGTGGCATCCGTCTCCAAATTTAGAATCTCACACAGTTGGTGCTGAAGAGACAAACATAGGTGCAAGCAAGTATCCAGGATCTTTCTGGAGGACACAATGCCAATATGCTACGGTAAAGTGGGTGCAGGAGAACCTGAATGCTGAGCACGCCATAAGTGCCATGCCAGGATAGAAACAGAGGAGGAACAACAGAGATAGAAGTGTGCACATTTACACGCCCGATCAGCATGCTATTTATCGGACCAGGCTTCAATGCAGATTCGTCTGACAGACGCAAGAATGGTACAAGAACAAAACACATCTTCAAGTGACAACATTATATTTGAGGCAAGATGCAAAGGACAGAGCTTGCTTCGTGCGTCTTGAAGCTGACCATGTTCTGAAGCCCTGTAAATTGGTTGTGCACCTTATAAAAAACAAACTGACTTAAGTGATGTTAGTCTCTTCCCCACCGAGGATGATGAAGATGAAGTGGGGCATGGGCTTGAGGGGAAGCGCGAGAAATAAAAGAAGGTGACAGAAATTCGGAGCTAGCCCTTACATTGTGAAAGGCATGCTTTACAATTCGTACAACAACTATTAGTCCCTGCTTATACCTTGGACCCCTACAGCTCACTGCTTCAAGGGTGCTCACGTGAAAAAGTGTACAGTATTGCCACGCGCGTTCCTCATTTTCACTTTTGTTTGATTTGGTTTTCATCGACAAAGCCTGGGTCAGGAATGCTCTGCGCAAAGTGCGCATCATTGTTCAAAAATGTTCGCGATTCATTGTAGATCGTTCTGATAAGATTACCCACTAGACGCCAACACTCGAGAATATTCCAGAGCTTGCCGGAAGACCAGTAGGAAGGCTAGAATAATCGACGGCGCATGTAATAAATGCCGTCAGGGTTCGCCGCTTGTCAGTTGATCACTGGGGGACGCTCTGTTTCCCCGCTATCAGTGCCCGTGTGCTGCTGTAATCTTAGCTTCAGTTTCGTGGCCACAATTCGGTCAAATAAACAGTTTCATCTGAACATCCAGTGTGCTCACTTCGTCTTTGTCACCACTTCGTCTTTGTCACCACTTCGTCACAGCACTCTATTCCTGAGGAATTTTTTTTAGCAATCTAGGTTTCACCAACTACAGTAACATTCAAATCACTATCAAGGGCCGAACTTATTCTTTTCATAAGGATACTATTAGAGTGCGAAAGGTACACTACTACGATCACCCACAAATTTATAGAAAAGAACCTGAGAGGGTCGAGTGCAATGCCTGTAGCATTTGCTATGGAACCCAATCTTTAAAGAAAATTATTATAGTCTCACCCATTTAAAACAAACTCGAAAGTGCCACGATAAATGGTTGTTGTATCAGTAGTTCGTTGTATATAGACCCGCCCATAAAAATGTCCTTTTGGTGGCCAAACCTTTTTTTTTTGTATTTTTATTCAGAAGTGTGAACAAACCCTTCGCTGACAAGTTAAGCCTTTTCGCGTGTTAAACTACGCATGTTCGCTCCCGAGTGAATTCAGCTACGTTTGCAATGAACTCGCGCCATTCCACTGAAGCGCGGTACCGCCACGTCGAATTATGTCACAGGTTTTGTTAATGAGGAAGGCGATTGCCGGGTTTATTTCAAGGACCGAAGTATCGGCTCCCTGAACTGCACCACGAAAGTGCGGACAATTTAGATGTGGTCCTATTTGGCACGCCAGCGGATGCCGGCTGTGGTTCGAAGAACAAGTCAGAGGCGAAAGTTGATAAACAGAACAAAATTATATTCTCAAATATGGCAGATCAAACGATACACAACTATGCACACTCGACAATAGTTGAATGTGATATGTCACCAATCAAACAACCTAATAGATAGAACAATCAGCTACGCTTGAAATAACGGACAAAAACAACAATACGTGCTACAATGCAATCACATACATCAAACAACCAAGAGAATTAAAGACTAAAGAGTTCGAAAACTTATTCAGCCCAAAGTCCTTGGAACAAAGTCTGAACGATACTCTTCCAAGAATCACTCACTCAAAGACCAGCGCTGTTGTCAATCCGCTGCCCCTGAAGTTTCCATTCCAGGAAACCTCACGTCTTCAATTGGCCGCTCCCCATGCACTAAACTTCTTCGCCAGTAACACATCGGCTTCCCACGCGTTGCGATTGCAGGACACGTCTTCACTCTCAGGCGGTAGACTCACACTATTCAGCTGGTAGCACCAGCCTTCACCCTTCGGACGGAAACCCTCTTCATCACCTCCTTTGTCACTGACGACAAAAGCCTTCGCCAACACGACGGAATGACCCTACGCACACTTGCGCAAAACTATTTTGATCTCCTGCCTATGCAAGCTAGCGTAAACTGTCTTCGTCTCCTGCTTTGTCACTGAGGACAAAAGCCTTTGCCGACACTGCAGAATGAGACTACGCACACTAGCACAAAACTTCCTTCTTCTCCTGATCTCCCTTCTCCGCTGATCGCTTAAATACCTTTTACGCTAGATTCCAGAAAATTCTAATTGTTTCGTCGGCGCGATGCACAACCAAGGCTGGCGAAAGAGCGAGACGTTTTGAGGACCGTCTGCGACTTGTGACGCAACTCTACATCACCATGCCCCTTTCGTTCCAGATCTTTCCACGGCTTCCAGGTTGGTTGGCGAAACTACGCTTCCGAGGGGGAGAGACGGGGTGCCCGGGGAGTCTTTGGATGCTTGTTTCTTCTTTATTGTTGACCTTGAGGCGTCTCTCTCGCGCCTGGAATCAACCTCATCGCCAGAATTCGGCGGCGCACTCTTTTTTGAGCGCTCGTTTGTGACGAACCAATCATCCCTGGCTAATTGCGTGCAGCCAAACACTTATTCGGCTCTCGCCGTCATATGCCAGTTCGCTTGCAGTCCATAGTATGTGGGCGTTTGTGCTTTCTTCGTGCATGTTTCACTCAGGATCGTGCTCAGGTGCGGCGGATAGCCTGTTCATTTGAAAAACATCGACACGAAGAATTTCGCGAGCAACGCGCGTAAGGGACCCAGTGTGACGCAGAGCCGGTAAACTTGTGAACGGCAGCATGACGCACTCGTACCGCCGTACTCGTACTCCGCCGCACTCGCACTCGTACATGACGCCCTCGTACTCCGCCAAGCAGCTATCTGCAGATGACTGTGATAACATTGCTGGCGATAAGTTGAAATGGCCGGCTCATTACCATCGGCCATGCCGCCATCGCTCTTTCCTGGTGCCTATCTGTTAAAGCACCGCCGCAACCGCATGCGCTAATCAACTGATCCAGTCTCTGCCGCTACCGAAAGATGGAAAATCGTTTGCGGCGCATTGTGGTGTCGGAGAGTTGAGAGTTGCAGTGAAAGCTATCACTTCTCACATTTATGGCTCCTTGCGTTCGAAGGCAATGTTGGTTGATTGTCCGCGATTGTAGATGCCGAACACAATGTCAGAAAAGTATGCCGCGCAAAAGCTGATTGCAAGTCTTCATGCTGCCTTCTACTTTTCTTTTCGTTTTTTTTTTCTTTCCCCCCCCCACTTTCGTTCTGTCAGTGAAGAAACGTCTGGAAAGTGAGGGACCCTGCTCGCAATGTTCGAAGTATGCGTGCGGTGCTCACCATGGTCTACAATATCTTTGTCGCAAGTAAACAGGAGCAGGCCACACGTGAGAGAGCACTTAACTCATGCTTTAGAACGGCTGTTTTAACATCTTTTGTTGCTTCATATGCACCATATTTTTATCTCGACCGTGTCGGAAGTATTCGTTATAAAAGTAGGGGGCTTTGAAAAATGTTCGCTGTATGTGGACTCAGTCTCAAAGGGTAGCACGGGAAAATCGTAAGTGCACTGTAATATGGCCATTAAACTGATAGATTGTTATATCTGGGATCGTTATAAGTGGGTTGAACTGTATTGCATGCAGTAGAGTGCCACAACCATTATTCAAATGTTTCCCAATCTATGACTACAAACAAACTATACATTACAGAGACGTGACCATTAGTACAAGTAGAGCATATTTTATGTTCAATGATGGGCAGAACTATTTTTAAGTTTAATTAGAGACACCCGAATGCACATTCACCATGCTGCGAAGTTCTCTCCTGCTGGCACAGTGGACATTTACATGCTCTTGACACATCTCCATTCGAGGCTCGCACTAAGTATTTGTGATGACGTCATACCCTCATACAGTAGGTCAACAACATGAATGCTCTTTTGGTTCCATATCCGATTGTACCGAAAAGTAAATTTTCCAACAAGCTTTTTTGGTAGGCAAGGGTACAAAGTGCCGGTCAGCCAACTCACCTTTGATAAGGGCAAGCGCCTCCTTTTTTGTCCTGATGTTCTCCTGGCGCCATGAAGACGGCCTCCGTGACTCGCAGTGTTTGACCAGTAGGTGTGAGCACCACACCTGGTCTTTCGTCGATGTTCCTGTGGATGCGGGCTCCTTGGGTGGCTCCCATTGGCTTTCCTTGGTGAGTGTGTTCAAGTAGTACGGCTCACCTGCGCCACCATACAAGTTATTTGCAAAAGCATTAAAGTAAATGTTGGTGCCCACACCTTCCTGCTCTTGCCACAGAAGCTCCTCTTCACATGCAATCACAGTCGAACCAACTTATTACAATTGAAGTGCCACGAAAATTTTATTGTTATAACCGATAATTGTTAAAAGTGGATGTATAAAAAAACAACAAGCAATATAGAGAAATGACAGACTGCTGTAAGAGAAAATATATAAAGTCGAACCCCGCTACAACAAAACAAACGGGGCATGGAAAAAAATTTCGTTGAAGCGAAAATTTCATTGTAGCGAAATGAAAAAAAATATATAGCTAATATGAGCTAGCAAAACAAAGGAACGTTTATTCTCAAAGTTCAAAAAATGTCCGCTGCTTCCTATTCTTTCCCAGCAGCGTCATGATGCGATTCTCACTCATGCATAGCGAGGCCATAGTGAAAAGCACACTGAAACGTCTAAAACCGCCTTCGTGAATGAATCAAACAGTTGCATTAGCACGTTAACACCAGCAGCTATCCGCCGTCAAAAGTATCCAACAAAGCCGAGATGGAGGCAGGGTATCATGGAGCGGCGGCTTTTACATTATTCTATGCCATTCTTATCATCCACCACTCGTCGCTAGCTGATTTTATTTATAATGTGGACGAACAGCCGCTCTGATTAATTACCACACTGGTCAAGCGCGAGCATAATGATAAGCATCGGAATCGGAAAAGGCATCGTTCTGCGGTTGCACCAAACAGCTGCGTGAAGGAAGCCATGAACTGAGCGACTGAGCTTCAGCTTCGAATCGTCTGCGGCTCAAATGAAAGCCAGTGGCAAAAGCAGGGCAGTTTCTGGTGGTGCCAACAAGTCTTTGACACTTCGTTGATGCATTTTCAGGCTCTGAAAATGCATCATGTTAAATGTTAAAGACAGGGTATACTGCATAGAAATAAGTATCTGAGCCTGGAATCGCATTGTAAAATTTCGTTAAAGCGGGACGATTGAAGAAAAAGTGTTCGTTGTGGCGACAATTTTTATGCATTGTCTCCTATGGACTGCTGACAGGCAATTGTGAATTTTTCGTTATAGTGGAAATTTCGTTGAGCGGCGTTTGTTGTAGTGGAGTTCGACTGTATATGCCAAAGCACATCGGTAATAAGGTCAAAACAAAATTGACAAACATGAGCATGTTCTATGGAATGCGAGAAGGTTGCTACGGCAGCCTATCAGCTTGAAAAATCTTGAAAAGCTAAGGCGAGACTGCCATATGTGTCGCGCCAGGTGCTCCCTACTGACTGGCTCAAGAAAGCGCCATATAAGCGCCATATCTGTCAGTCAGCTTAATTTGTCTTATGCCAACCTTGCCAACATCATTCGCCAAGGTGTTCGTGTGCTTCACATAGCGCGGAGAAAGGTCCCTCGCAAAAACATATCCCCAGAGGAACTGTATGATCTACAGGGCCTCCTGTGAGGACAATATTGATGCAGCTTGCCCTACAGAATCGTCGTTATCATCATCACTGTACAACAAGCATATTTGCAATGATCACTTCTTTAGTTAAATGTCCCGATGTTTCTAGTGCCCCATCCACATACAGAAACTCTTCCAAGCCCTGAAGCATCGTCATCAGCTGCGGACCAAAGCTGAGGCATCACTTCATCGGCAGGAATTTCGGAAGCTTTGTGCAAATCACTGCTGCTTTGGAAAAACCATGCTTTCCTGAAGCTCTGCACTACAGCAGCACTCACTTCAGACTACACACCAAAAAAGAATTGCGTGGCCATCGGCGAATTCATTTTTACATGTGGTTGCACTTCACTTGTCTGCATGGCGATGACCATGTCTAGGATGCAGCGATGATATACGACCTCAAAACTGGTGATCAAGCCAGGATCTACGAGCCGCAAGTCTGCTGTCAAGTTCAGCGGCAGGAAGAAAACTTCCATGTTTGAATGCTTAATTAAGAATAGAATGATGGGCGTGACTAATTACATGACTAATAGGCACAATCTTTCTTCCAGATCGCTCCACTAGTTGGTCAAACTAGCCGCTCCTAAAAGAAGGTCCATGACTCGAGGTTGTGATGGTAGTGTGCCAGTTACCTGGCACTACAACAAAAGCAGCGGGAAATTTTTTCTTTGCCTATGAGAACTGTAGAGCATTGGTCATTCCCATCCATTTTGGTGCCTAAGAACATAGCAAGACACAGCTCAATGTTTTTCTCACCGTTACACAAGTCCCCCCCTTTCGCGAGTGTCTGAGATGGCAGCACCTTCACACAGTCCTGTTTTGTCATCATTGTATACAACACGTCGGCATGAGGGTAATCGTTGTGGGTGTGAAGCAACAATTATTTGACCCACTTGTGCCCCACCTCCATGTCAAATGACGCTTCCTTCGCAGCGACAGCTTTGTATACAATTCCACGCTTCTCTCTCAAGCACTGTACCCAGCCGTCACCTAGACAGAAGGCTTTATTAATCATGAGGGCAAACTACTATTCCTTTATGGCAAGAAATGGCACAGTGATAGGCAAGTTCAAGGCATGGGAACCACTAAACCACTGAAGAAGGTCCTTTTAGACCTCCTGACATGCACTTTATAAACACGTTTGCATATTATAATTTTTCAATGTGGGACTTCTCTGCTAAGCAGACGATTGTTGACACTGTCGGTTGTAATAGCCTATACTTGTTCACCAAGTTGCAGACATTTCTACTATTTTTGTAGCTGCACTTAGTTTTCAGCTTTACAGCAGCGTCTTAATTTCATCAGCAATGTCCTGCAATGCCGATTATCGCTAGATGTATCAGCCATATCCCCCGTTTCGGCGGTGGAGAAACCTTGTGGCCAGGAGCTATTTCGAAACCATCAGCACAAGCGTTTTTGTCAGTTCGCAGAACTGCACAGAAAGAGGGATTAGCGAGATGACTTTTATGGCGGGAAGTGCGACGCATTTCCTGCGATTACAGTAAGGGTCATACTGTACGAGTGTGCGATGGCCGTTGATGGGGATGCAACGGCTCGAATTTTTCGCCTTCGTCTTTCTCGTCAAGGATATTGTGTTCCTTTACGCTTTGGCAGGAAAGCCTGGCAGCCAGAATGTTTTGTTAAAACAGATAATGTGGCATGAAGGCACTGTAGTATGTCAGTTATTATACCATAGAAAACACGCAAAGGTTTACAATACAGTGGCTTTTCATTGTTATAACCAATATATTGTTGAAACCCGTTTATAAGTGGGTTCAGTGTACTTAAAAATGACATTTTAAGCTTCTGTTCACATTAAAATAGATTCTTTAGTGTTCAGGTGCAACCGATGTCCAAACCGACATCTTTGCAACCGACATCCAAACCTTCAGCACTTTCTAAAACATCTACAAAGATATGTCAGATATGGTAACACAGAAACCTTACAGTAACCGGGTTTCAATGGATTCAGGCAGGTAGTCGATTTCAAAGGTAACTATGTGTTTCGTAGAAGTTGCTAATTACATCAAATTATTATAATTCTTGGAAACTGCACTACATCCTGGTATTTCTAACGTTCTAGTCATTCGTTTTGAATTGGTGCGTGAAGGAAATCGTCATAGATGACAACACACACTGTGTTCAGCAACCTGTGTGAGCCCATGAAAAGTGGTATGTCTGCAAACGCTGTGTGTTTCAATAGCTTGTCATACTGAGGTTTGTAGCAATTTCAGGCATATTGCTGCTTGCCATCTCAGTTTCTTTATATTATGGGACAATTGCTTCCATCAGATATACTGAGACAAGAAACAATGAATTGTTCAGACTGTCTTTATAGAAGGGTGCAAGAGCCAAAATTGAATTTGGAGCAATTTTTGGAGCAGCAAAAGTTTACTTTTGAAGCATTAAAATCCAAATTTGGAGCAGGTTCCGGGAAAGAAAACATCCATATTTTATTACAAAAGACCAAATTTGGGGCAGTATAAAATTAGAGGCTTACATTTAGAAAAAAAAAAAACAAGTTAGTAAAAACCATTCAACATCACCGAAATCATGCAGAGTAAACATGAGCACTGCCATTTCAATAAAAGTAGTTTTTTTAACCATCCCACAGAGCAAAAAATTATAAAGTCCACATAAGCATTCTCTGCATTCTTCAAATACTTTGACAGACCCAGTGAATTCAAATGTGGATCTGCAAAGCTGGCGACCTTGAACATCAGGGGATTAGTGAAACTGAGGAGTAGAGGGTGGGAAAAAAAAAAAAAGAAAAAACGTGCACATGTTTTTTTTAAAGCCACCAGCAATGTCATAAGCTGCTCAAAATGCTTGCTTGTAACATTTTCAGAAGTCAGCAATCATACTAGTACTTACAGTTATGCCTACGTTTATACAGGCATAAGTAAATGAATAAAATGAGCTGTGTCTTGTGACTAATGCTAAGAGCCCCTTCCAAACCATATTACGCTTTACTGCAGTACACTGGCATATTGTGGCCAAGGTGACTTGAGCAGCGTTCTGCACGGGTTAGAGCAAGGCCATGAAATTTTCGAAGACCGCTACGCCCCCCTCCCCCTTTCCACACAATGAAGTTAGGTTAAGGCTGCAACTTCTCAGCCCACTTGCAAGACGTGTTCTACCAGATAAGGTAACAACGGCACGCGCCCGTCCACCCGGCACTGGATATTTATCACCAGGGCGATGGAATAGGAAGATGATATTTCTCGCAAAGCTCTGGTGGCTACGGCAACGCATTTTTGTTTCAAAGTTGCATCGTCCCACTGATAGGTATCCACTGCGGTTAGCCAAGCAATGGGGGTGTGGATTTGTTACTTTCGCTGGTCAATAGCACCTCGTGAATGCCCTGACATATGGATTGAATGATTTGTGGGGTTTAACGTCTCGAAACCACCATTTGATTATGAGAGACGCCGTAGAGGAGGGCTCCGGAAATTTTGACCACCTGGGGTTCTTTAACGTGCACCCAAATCTGAGCACACGGGCCTACGACATTTCCGCCTCCATCGG